GTTGAAAAAGGAAGTAAAGTTGCGCTGTTCCTTTCAATTCTTCTCAAGACTGAGGCATTTTTCTCCGAACTACTGGTAGAGTTGTTGACAAACAATATTTCAAAATAAATACCAAGATAGAATAAATAATTTGTGATTTTACTACATACAAAAAGGCAGAAAACCTCACAAACAGCATTCCAATGCATTTTCTTAATCTCAAATCGTATACTCGAGACAAAGCTTCATAAATAATAGAATAGACAAAAAACCGATCGTGACTTATTCATACGTCGCAAACAAGCCCTCTGTCAAGCAAATCTGTCACTTATTGTATCTGGAGGGCCGCTTTCGCTACATTAACATTTTATTAACATTTCCCGTGCGTCATTAGGGTTGAAATTTGAATATCTTTGGATCGGAAATGCACAAATTAAGCGAGTGATCTGTTACCGTCTGTAATGAGCTGAAAGGTACGTAATGACGAGGACAACAAAACAACACTTGCTTACCTCAGACCGGGTAACGAAGGCTGGCTTAGTGTGGAAGAGGATTTTCGTTAAGAAGAATGATGTGTAGTGATTTTCTTAATGCAAATTAAAAATAATAATTGTTAAACTTTTTTTATTCTTATTGTAAAACCAATAATGAGGCTTCGATATTTTAATTTTTTTTATATACCTATATGTAAGGAAAATATATAATAATTTTGTTTTTTATAAGTTATTATGATTAATAAAAAAATAAAAGATCGTTAAGCTAGTTTCCTTATAACATTTATTTATTACTCATTTAAAAAAAAAACAATAAAAGTCTAAACACTAAGAAGATATTATATTATATAAAATATCTCCATCCCAAAGAGTAGTTATGGTATAATAAGATATATGATATCCACATAATGTAGCCAGCAATACTTATTAATAAGGAACGGTAGCTCGCACACAGACGGCCGCGTGGACACGGCGAACGACATTTGTAATGATACTAAATAGTTGCGCGCGGTAGGTGCCCCGTAAACGAGTAATGCGTCCACTTCTTGGGATGGTGTTATATAATATTTGATAATTTGACACGCTTTTATATTAGCTATATGTATTTATAGTTGTTGTAGTTGCATTTTAATGTTTAGTATAGATTTCTCAGAGATGAGATATTTTCCCGCAGTAAAAAGTACCTATCCTATACATTGACCTGGATAACCAGCTATCATCATAATCTATCCAGTGGTTTTGTCGTAATGCTTTCCCAGACAGACAGACAAAAGTTCTAAAAATCATAGATTTGGCCTTTATATCTACAATAATTACTATTTCAATAAGATTTTCTAAAAAATATTTAAAGTAGAGATTCGAGTCAGTTAGAATTTTATTATATTATGTACCTATAGACTATGTTGTCCAATGGAAGTTGATTATAACTTGCTTCCAATTATCGAATCGATTTGAGACTATTTACATAAGAAAATATGTGAAATCTGATTAAATATGTGATATTGAGCTTATCTGATGATGAAGCCAGACTACTAGTAAAACCTTCCAAATTGGATTGGCAAGCCCCATACATTATTATGAATAAGTAGGTACATATTAGCTAAAGCGTTTGCAGCCCAATGCCCATTCAACAAATAGGCTACTTTTTATCCCGGAAAAATGTAATGTTCCCTTGGGATAGAATTGTTTTTGTTTGTTTAGAGGCGAACCCGAGCGAAGCAAGGGTGAGCCACTAGTATAAGATTATTACCTATTCCTACTACTCTCAAACACCAATGGAACGACACTTCGACACAACCGGTGAGAGTGATTTACGTACCTACTCGCGAAAGCACAGAGTGTAACACCGCCAACTTCCTAATTCCGGGCTATTGAAAATTACTCAAACAATAAAGTTCAATAAGTACAAAGACTTGGCTCGACCTAGAACTTGAATAGATACAAAACCTCTGAATTGTAGCCTAGCTAACAACTAGACCAACAAAGAAGATCATGAATTCTTTTCAAAAATATTTCAAAAAAATGATAACATGTTGGTTTAAGCCATCCAGTCAATAAGTCAGAGGCACCTATCTGCGTAATGTCTCGGGGCAGCATTTACATATTTTAATGAGCAGTGCCTATCGCAGTCCGCATAGTCTAGATCATAGCTAGAGGCATTCAACATGGCTAGTTTGTTCTTCGGATGCTATTTGTCGATTATCGTGTAAGAGTTTAATTGCATTGCCGTGTATATGAAATCACTTTATGTACTAGTGGTCACATGTGATTTTGCCTGTAATTATTCCCATGATATTAACAGGCTTAATAAATCTATACTCGTATATACACACATAAAATTCTTTAAAGCCAATAAAAATATAGTGAATCATATTTTAATCTAATCTAAATATTTCTGCTTATCTCTTTTGCTCACTAAAAATATATTTTCTAAATTTGATTTAAAGAGAAGATTTAAAGAGTAAGTGAGTTCATTTACAAATGTGCACAATTTGATAATTATATTATAAGACATTTAACACTACTTTCTAACATAAAATGAAAATGATTTCAATAAATTGCAGGACGAAAAGAGAAAGTTATTAGACGTACCTATGTATATCTATAGTATATATATATATATATATGTATATATATATATAGAGAGAGAGAGAGAGAGAGAGAGGTAAAAATCAATACAAACAAAAGTCTTAATTAGTAAACATGTAAACATTGTATATGAAAATTCATTAACAAACTCGCCTAATTTCCTCCACCTCCCCCACGCTGGTCAGTGGGAGTGACGAACATCACCCTGTAATGTGCTACTGTTGAATTGCAAAAATCTCATTATGCTCTAACTGTCGTTATAGGAGTAATTAACTACCACGGACATAGAAAACTGTGGAGACGTCGACTATTTTTAGTTGTGTCATCCTTTTATATTTTAATGTCTAATGTTCTTTGTTCTGTGGCTTATAGGCGTGTCATTTGGGCACAATTTATTTTGCTAATGTTTTTATATTTTAAGTACACACCAAATGTGCAATGATCTGTTTCATTAGTAGATTCGTTACCGCCCTGATAAATATTTATACTTATTTTAAATTATTCCTATAGAAGTAAACCTGGCTAAGACAAAGAAATATTACGAACTGCACTGTTCTAAATTCATTAAAAAATTAGAGTATCACTGTACTAGTAAGTCACTGCGTTATTTATGTTTACTATGAAATTCATTTTATTTTTGTAAAAATAAAGCTAAAAAATATATGATTTTGATACCATGGTTTTATATGAAACTAAATTAAGAAACATTATTCAAGTATTCATACCTGTCAATTAAATTTTTAGAGAATTTTTAGAGAAAAATATAAAGTTCTGCTTAGTTGCAAATTTAAAAAAAAAAACGTTTACAATATTATTCTGTAAAGCCATGTCATAATACATAAAATTACATGACCAATAAAATCATAATAAAAAATCTAATTTTAAGGCTATTCCAAACACGTCACAGTCCGCGGGTAATTGTGTTTCATATAACGAGTTTTTTGGCGCGCACCTATCCACGGTCTGCAAGTTCATTTTTGTTATCTGTGCTTTGGGTCCTGTATAGATAAACAATACTAATAACAACCTTTTCATATTTCAATTTCATTAGAAACTTTTTAAAAACTACAATTGGATTTTTAAATATATTGTAGGTATGCGAAGAAAATAAAACTAAACATATATTTTACTTGTTATTTAGCTTATTTCATAGAATAGTTATAAAAACAGTTATAGTATTGTTAAAAAATAGTATATATAACATAATTCGTATCTATACATACATATAATAAAACTGTAGAGGTCGAATGTCTGTACATAGAAGAGAAATAGAACAAATCCAGATGTTTTTCAAATTTTTTGATTCTCTTTCTGTTTGCCTGTTTGTACGGGCTAATCTCCAAAACTGTTGAACCAATTTAAATTAAATTTTGCATGGTCGTACCTTATATCCCCGGTCAACATTTTAGATACTTTTTATCTCGGAAAATTAAAAGAGTTCCCGTGGGATAGTTAAAAAACTATAGTAACTTATACAGCTTAGTACACATAAACTACTGATTGTATTTTAACAAATAGGCTACTTTTTATCCTGGAAAAATTTACGGTTCCCGTGGGATAGATTTGTTCTTGTCCGTCTAGAGGCGAATCCGAGCGAAGCGAGGGTGAGCCGATATTATGGTATAAAGTAGGTTTAAGCTAACACTTAACGTAGTATCTATTGCTTGCCTTGAAACTGTGTAAAAAATTTAATTTGCATCACTTTTCACTTTAAAAATAAAGTTTACATAGTTACTTAATATATTTTTTAAACGATATTTGGTACTTTAAATTTCAGTAATAAGTATATTTTTTACTAGCGAATCACCCTGGTTCCGCTCGGATTCGTCCTTTGTTACGTTTTAACGGTTAGTATAGATTTCTCAGAGAAGAGATATTTTCCCGTAGTAACAAGTGTCCTAAATGTTGACCAGCTATCATTATAACAAATTTCGTCAAAATTTGCCCAGTGGTGTTCTCGTGATGCGTTCTCAGACAGACAAAAATTCTAAAAACTATAGATTTGGCCTCTGTTTCGATAATAATAACTATATCAATAAGATTTTCCAAAAAATATTTCATGTAGGTACAGATACGACTCAGTTAGAATTTTATTATATGTATAGATAGATATATGCTCATATGAAATATCAGCACATGGGATAATAAGCAAATACAATGTCAGTACATTTTCTACTCTGTTTGCCAACCGATTGTCTTTCTTTTTGTTTAGTGCTAGTTACCTATAAAAAAAATGATTGTGGTCGAAATTCCACCACTGGACGAACACGAGTAACAATAATATTTAGGTATATTTATAATATGTACGTATTTAAAGTTATATATGTGTAGTGTATCAACTATCTGGTAACCATAACACAAACCTCGTAGCTCATGGAACTAGATAGTGTTGTGTGTTAATGTTCCAAAAAAACACACACATAAATAAAACATAATTTATTGTGATAGTGTAAGGTCTATCATGTTATCCTCAAACTCATCAGACTCTTTCGACGGGCCGGGCATTTCTTCTACCACTTTCTTCTTTATATCGAGTTCTAGTTTCTTCTGTATTGGCGCTTCTGTTCTTACAAGAGGTGCTGTTGTTTTTCGACGCTTTTCTTTTGGAGCATTGTCACCACATAGCTTGATTAGGCGAGCTTTCTGAAGAAGAATAAAAAAATATTTATTTATTATTAAGCACACAATATACATACCTACATGTTAAAATTATAAGAAAACAGACAGGCATACCAATTACACTGCAATGCAATGTACATAGCATTCATATAAAGAATTATTAGTAGTTGATAAAAAATATAAAATTTACAATATTTACAAACAGCATATTTTCAAATCAAATAAAGTAAAATAAAAATAATTCGATTTTAGTTATTTAATAATTTTAGAAAAATTATTATATATTTAAATCACAGTTTTAGAGAAATAATACTCTACGAGTAATAGTTTGTACTTAAATTTATTGAAAGAATCATGAAAAATATCTAATTCTGGTACGGCCTTAGAAATAATATTGGATTTTGCGTATTAAAAATATATTAAACAAAGCATATATTCTATCATAATCATTATTTGACTAAACGTTTGGTTCAGTTTGTACTTGTTGTGCCAGCGGTCGCGGGTTCGTGTCCCGCTGGAGCCATTCAATTGTGTGGTTGTGTTTATATTTATATTACGTATGTATTTAAATTTAATATGTGTAGTCTATCAACTATCTAGTATCCATAACACAGCCTCGTAGCTTACCATGGAACAAGATGGTGCTGTGTGTTAATAAAATGTCCCAAAATATTTATTTATTTATTTTATTATATAATACTGTGTTTGGTTTAGATTTGTATTGTAATTGTATCAAATAAATAAAATATTAAAGATTCTTCTGCTCTGGGTTTGAGATCCGGGTCGGCTTAAGCTTCGTTATAGAGATTTTATGTAAAAAAATCTCAATAGCTGCCCAGTTAGGAAGTTGACGGTGTTTACATCCCGCGTCTCAGATACCCTGATTTAAAGAGTTAAAATTCGATGGCTTTAGTTAGAAAAATGTGAAGATCTATAAGCCACCGTACCTATTTTAGCACTTCGCAAAGGTAAAATATGAAATTTGTTTATTATTTTAGTTATTGCTACATTATTTATTACATTAACTGCCTTGGTGGTGTAGTGGCTAACATGTACGGCTGCACACCCGGAGGTCCTGGGTTCGAGTCCCGGGTCGGACCAAGTTTAGTTATTAAGTCTTTCTGTATAGTAAGCCTCACTAACAGCCCGGATTTGGGAAGTTGGCGGTGTTTCACTTCCGTGCTTTGGAGAGCTCGTAAAGCTGTCGGTCCTGCGCCTTAACTCTCACTGGTAGTGTCGAGTGGTCATCCCACCAGAGTATGAGAGTGACAGGAATAGAGAGTGCACTTGTACCTGCGCGTACACTTGTGCACTATAATATCTCATGCGCAGTTGGCTAGTCTCTATGAGATTGGCCGCCGTGGCCGGAATCGGTCAGTAGAGATAACATTAAAATATATTTAATCTATTTGATAACAAGTAACGTTTAAAAACAAATTCGTCAACAATACCCGCTATTTAAAACGCGACGGCTATCACTATACTGTTAGAACTATACGTAACAGATTAAATATAGTAAATTAATTAAAATAAACCAAATCAGGTAATACGTTAGAACCGTATATCAATTAGGCATATCATTTTAACTTGAAAATAGCACTTGCATAAATAATGCTTCATAACGGTGTTAGTTAGTGATTCAGATTCGAATTTAAATTAAAATTGCAATTAAAACACACGGAAACCGATTCATTATTTCAGAATGAATATGGATTTATAATTAGATGCGAAAATAATTTCACTTCAAAAATCATTCGCGTTTCGCGTTGTTATTTCCTAAATCTATTATCAAAGTTGTTGAATGTAATAAGGCAGAATTGAGTTTTTGTAGGGTTAGATATTTGGCCTCATTACGTCTCTTATGAAGGGTTCATAAGTTTTTTTTTGAAACTAAACCAATTTTTCATTTTATATATTTATTATTTACATTATCATACTGCTATTATATGTAGCTATGTGCAAAAGTATGTATGCGTGTATGTTTGCTACTCATTCACGCTGTGACACAGAAATGACTGGATGAATTTGGATGGAATTTAGTAAAGTCCACCCAGACTTTGACCTAGAAATTACATATTACATATAGGATACTTACTCTTAAAAATAAAATCGCCAAAAGTTGGCGCTGTCTGTCTGTGTATATATATGTTAATACAAAAGATATTTGGGAACACGCCGAGGAAAGCAAAGAGAAATCGCTAGTTTTCTCATATAATTAAAAACAAAAAGTTACATAACGGTTTCTCGCACCGTTTTCTGATAGATAGTGCATGTTTAAGTAGCATTAACGCCGCGTTGTCTCAACCAACTCGAAACAGACACCTATATGTGAATATTAATTAGATCGAAAGTCTAGTGGCTAGATTGTACAACGGCATCATAAAGGTTATAGGTTCGAGCCCCAGATCGATATAAAGAGAAAATCCCAATAATTGTGATTATCCATATTTATATTATATATATATATATATATATATATATATATATATATATATATATATATATATATATATAGTTATTTTTTGTGCCCAGGACATATTATAGCGAACAAGTGTATACACAAGTTGTTTCTATTAATTTCACTCTCATAATCCGAAACAATACTTCGACACCACCGGAGAGAAATCAAGTGCAGGATTATGGGTTTTAAATGCTCTTCAAGATACGAGGGTGAAACACCGCCAACTTTCGAACTCCAGGCGGCTATAGAGAATTTCTTAACAAAAAACCCAATGACCCGACTTATGACTCGAACCCACGACCCCCGGATCGGAGTTCGCACATGCTAACCACTATACGAACAAGTCAGTAAGTAAGATAGCTATGATAAAATTATTCTTAGTAAGTATGACATGATAATTATAAACCTACCTCTTTTATAATACAAATGTAGCGATAATCAACGACAAATTCCAAAACCTTAAAAATATAGTAATATATCTATCTATACACAAGAGTAAATCTAAAGAGTTAAATCTAGTGTCTAAGAAATAAAAAGTAAATCTAAACACTTACCAATGCAGGATTCCTTCTCACAAGCAATTTAACATCATCAGAATTTATTGTAGAACGTTTCGCGTGCCTGCGGGATAAAGGAAATCAGGCTACAAAGAAGTTACTGCCTACATTATAATACCAAAGTATTTTAAACCGTTACCAGTAATTACCAGTCGTTTTAACTGTCTATGGACAATCTATCGATTCAATTACAGAAAGTTTGATAGATATCATATAATAATTGATATATGAAATGAAATTAAACTCATCTTTTAACGGTTATTTATAATTATCACAACAATTTTATATAACAAGCATTTGAAAGAACAACTAAAGTCATTAAATTTATTAATTCACGTATAAAAATTAAAATAATTAAGATATCAGGTAACACATAAACAAAAAATCGGCGGTTTATAACTATCTCCATTTAGAAGTCGGATATAAAGTAATTATTATTAAGTAAAAGTGTTAAAAATGGCATGCACAAGCGGTCTTATAATTTATTGCTTCAAGCTCTCATCGTTTACAGGCACGCCTTGGTGAGATAATTCTTCAAGACATATAGTGACGGCGCGGTGATCTAAAACCTAAATAAACTAAATAATACTTATATAATAAAAAAATAAACATTATACGTAACTACACAAATCGTCCACCTTGATATTATGTATGTAACATATTATGTATGTATTTGAAAGATACTTTCCATATTACCACAATGAAGCTGTACATATTGTTAAAGTTTTAGAACAAAAACTATAGTTTATATACTAGCTTGGGACATCTACAGCATTATTTTGAAATGGAACATAAAGAAGCTTTAATTTTGTTGCTGGGATAGTCCTGTTATTTAATTAATATAAACTTTACTTTGAATCTTGCTTGATTATATGATTAGATAAATTTTCAAAGCATTTTAATTCATTGTTTTATGACTTTTAGACTTTACTTCCGTAACGTATTTTTGCAGAGCTTACCTTATATTTTTTAATAATACGCATTTCTATAAAATAGCTTCGCTCGTTTTCGTCCCTAGTGAAAAATAAAAACAAATCTGTAATTTTTTCCGGGATACAAAGTAACCTATTTGCTATTCCAGACTAATGCATCCATTTATCCACACAAATTTTTACATTTAAAACGTTAGTAGGATTAACGGGATAGTATAATAAAACTTTTTATACCTACTACGTACTTTGCAAAAGCTTCTAAATCTGATCCATAGAGAGCAATCTTTGAGATCACAAGCTCTGCGATAATAGCATTTGCAGGCTTCGTGATATCCAATCCCATACAATGACAAGTTTCAACGCAAATAGCACGTACGTCTCGATGTAGTGCAGCACGGACCTTCTGTAAAATTGTTAGAAATTGTTTTTCCAGGATAAGTGTACTATTTTTTTTGTTTAGTTTGCAATATACTTATTGTCCGTCTGTCCGTATGAAAGAATTTTACTGACAAGACTATTTTGGTACTTACAGCCTAAAAAGACACCCGTTTTCAAATCTTAGATGACGAAATTTATTTATCACGAATGCAATATTGTAATAAGCGAGTAAGTACGTGTTTATTTCAATGAAATTCGGAATAGATACAGTAAGCTACCCTAGATTAACATATAGATCACTTTTCACAACGTGCCACGAGCAAGGGCAGCTGCTTTAATTATTTTTAAGAAAATAATACGGAAATATTATTATTTAAATATTAATTACCATTATAAAAATGTTATTTTAAATTAAACTTTAAATATCAATAAATAATGTTTAATTATGCCAACCCTTTCCTAAACGCAACTAAATATTTTCGGCATTTCCGCCAAGGACTAGCTCAACTACTAACTATAAGTTTTTAGCTCAACTACTAATTTAAAATTTTCCAGTCAGTTACTAGAAATAATTTTGTTTGTTTCACAAAATATTGAACATACTAGGTAGTTGATAATTCATAAAAATTAGCGCCATCTTTTGTATTCTACATAGTACCATTAACTAAAGCAGCAACGGGCAGGCGAGAGAATGTAATTTAGCCTTATCTCTGTAGATGGCATTTACACTTTACTGTTTTTAAATTATTTATTAAACTACTCGTATCGACGTATGAGGACATTAAAATATGCTAATTGCTAGATAAAAATTATAAATTATTATTTATTAAATTACTTATATACATAAAATAACACGAATAACCAAACAAAATATTTTCAGTGCAATAATAAATATTGATTTTGTTTTAAAAACCGGTATTTGCAAAGAGTTGGCGGGAATCTAATTGTCTCATTAAAATAGTATAACTAACTGTATTTGTATATAAATAATAATAACTATTACTATCATTAATATGCTTAATTAACGCAGAAAATATATATTATAATATACATTTTTATTTATAAAAAAATAAGTAACTTTACAATTACCTGAGAAATCGATAGATTTTCAAATGATGTCATTTTTAGAAAATGAAAAAAATGAAATGTGAATGATAAAGCACACACATTTGAACTAGATAACTAATACAATTGCGTAAATATTTCCAATTTTGCACTACATGATATAAACAAAAACATAACCTATAAAATTTTCTCAAACTAGCGACAACAGCTGTCAATTTTGTACTTTCAAGGTCACCTCTTGACAGATTCAAAATATTTTAATTAAACATGAATATGTCTAATAAATACTTTATATGTACTATGGACATAATATTATGTGTAACTTTATTAGTTATTCAAAAAATATAGAATGTTTTACGTCTTTACTTACATTATGAACAGACAGGATTTGTAAATCAATCGATTAATGCTGTTACGGGAACAGGGTAGAATTTACAAATGTAAATAGAGGAGTCAGTAATAACCCAACAGCTTTTTTAGTTCCTCCATGTATCGTGTGCAAATTAAAAGGACAAAGTTAACTCTTATTTACTTGTCTTTAATTTCCCAATTTCGAATTATTATTAATTGCAACCTTAAAAATTACTCTCAGATATTTGCATCTTCTACGTAGCCTGTAATACACAGGATTGAATTATAAGTTCATTTCATATTTTTTGTCTACTGCATCTGCAGAACTTTATTTTGAAACCATATTCAAGTATGAGTTAATTATTAATATATTAGTAATTTAAATGTTATAAAAGGGTATTAATAAATAAAAACATTTTGTTTAATTTATTTTAATTTTAATGAGTTATCTGTACAGCTTGCATACAACAGTCCAACATTAGTACAACCAAGAACAATATTGTATTTCAGTTACATTTTTGAATGTTTAAAACTTTAAAAACTCTTTTTTATAACAGATATGTTCTTAATCTAATTTTAAAAAAGACAGTTCCTTTCTTAAGAAATCCATTAAAGGAAGTTATGAATAAAAAAATATTGAATACATTTGTATTATCTTTTGTCATGACTAAAACATACATATTGTGCTAATAATGTAACAAAATTATATATATGAGGAAAATTCTTATATTTAATAGTGAGAAGACATTTTGATCAATAAAAAAAATAAACTCAGAGCAGTGAGTAATTTTTTTATAAATTTAATTTTATAAGACTTTGAAATATTTCTAAACTGATTGAGTTTTGGGATTTACATATTTTAAAGTACAGATTAGTATGTCCTTGTTAAAATTTAATATTCTTTAAAATTGCTACATTGGCACAATAAAAAAAATAAACTCCAGTTATTTATAATTCCAATATGATTTTCATTTTACATATATTCAATGTACAGATTTACATTTATTATGTTCGAAAATATATAATTTATCTGTGCAATTAGTTTTAATTAGACTTTCTTAACAATTTGTACGACATCTTCATCAGACAGTACATGATCAATTCCAACTTTTTGCGGCTGATGTTTTACTGACGATCCCCATACTAAGGCACTGAAAAATAAATGATTTTTGTTATTTTCATATTACACTTCTTATATAAAATCCAAATATTACATTGTATCAAAAAAAAATTTATCGATATTTATCGATTAATTTTAACAACTATCGATGGTCCAAAACTCAACAGTATCGATAGTATCGATCATCGAATACTATTGATAATTTATATCTCTTTAGCAGCAATACTATCGATAGTATAGATATCATTGCCCTTGCCCATGCCATTGTTAATAGTAATGTCGCATTTCGAGCTATCGATACTATCGATAGTAAGGCTGTTTTAGATGAAACTATCGATACTTCGGTAACACTAAATTATCACGGCTTTCAGTCAAAACATATTGAAGTTTTTTGCACTCCAAATGCATTGGTGTATTTTTCAGTCACCATATTAAAAATAAAATAATAATAATATATACTGTCAAATGACAAAGATTAATTTCATAATATAAAAATTTATCAGTATCCAGAATTTTCTAAAGTAGAGTAGACATAATATTGTATTCCATATTTATACCTTGATAGTTTAAAAATAACAATTCTTAAAAAGAAAACAAAATGCAAGCGAAACCATTTTGAAATGACATATTTTTGTTCATTTACAATTTAGTGGTAAGTCATAGATAGACATAAAATTCCGAGAAGTTAGTTTTATTAAATCTAAGAAAGTATTAGTTTCACAGATACTTACTATTTAAACTCTTTAACAATAGATCTATGTAGTTTGTTACAGAAGTCCTCCACACTGGTCCTGTCCGCGTGTAACACTACTGGTGCGTTATAATCTGGCAGCTGGCCTTTGGGTTTCGTATATATCCTTATTAGTTTTAGATATTCCCACATTTTCTCCAATAAATCATCAAAATTCCATTTATGATGGGCAGATATTGGTACACAGTGTGGAATTTTGTATATAACGTCCAGTTCTTCTATGCTTATTTGATCTGAGAATGAGAAATTTAGATATCACAATATTAGTTTATTATTATAAACCCTGGGTATGTTTTCATTTTTTTGAGCGGAACCATAATTGTTTCTCTAAACTAAAAGTAGCTTAAAGTACTTCCTATAACATCAGCTATCTGCCAGTAAAAGTCCCGTCAAAATCGGTCCAACCGTTTCGGAGATCAGCCGGGACAAACAGACAGACAAAGACATGAAAATATTTTAAAATTGTTTTTTCCTTATAAGTACAATTTATACTTTTATAAGCATTTAGTAAAAAGCCGTTATTTTGACATTAAAACAGACACATCAATTTTATTTATATGTATAGATTGCTGTTTTATTGACATATCTATCAAGCATAGTCACCAGTGAAAGTTAGTTGTTAAATATTTCAAATAGAGCATTTAAAAAGACAGACAGTAACATACCAATTTTATTCAATAAATAAATGCACGGTACATATATTCTGTTGCCCTCGATGACATCTATCAGGTCGTCACTGTTGGCATCGTAGCGGAGGGTGATATCTGCATTGTGTATTTTATATTCGGAGAGGATTGTCTTCACTGTTTCTACGTCTAGTTCGGATTGGGGGCACTAAAAATATATTTTTTTTTATAATTTTTTCAATTTTTTTTTTTTAATTTTTTATGTAAATGTGCACTGACTCAATATCTATTAAAATTTGTTTATTAGTAAACCAAATTGTTGACATTTTCATCCGATTTCTTCAAAAAAGAAGAAGTTCTAAATTCGGCTGTATGTTTTTTTACAAGTTTTATTTAACTTGTCGTGTTAGTATGTTACTTCGTGTCAAATCTTGCAACTGTACTTCAAAGCAGTTATTCTCAACCGATTGAGCTGAAATTTTGCATACACATTAAGTTCAGATGTTAATGCATGGTTAGATACGTGACGTCCTTTGAAATCCAATATGATGGACTCCTAAAGAGATATCCATAAGAATTAAGAGACTAAGTTTTTTTTATGCACCCCCATAATATGGATATCAAATGAAAGGGTTTGCTAGGAAGAATACGAATAAAAAAAAAATTAAATGAATAGAAAAAAGGACATTTTTGAAAACAAGCTCTAATTAAATGCTCTAAAAAGAATAAAGTAAACTTTAAATTAAATCAAACCCATCAATTTATTATATTTCGATATTCATATGATATAAAAGATTATCGCAAGATTTACCTGAGTAAATAAACAAGAACAAGAAAAAATCGTACGGAAACCTGCATGTCTGAGATAACCTCACAAGTTTTCAAAAGACATGTTGGCCAGCGTGGTGGACTATGGCCTGATCCCCCCCTTGTATTGAAGGGAGGCCCACGCCTCACAGTGGGACGTCAAAAAAAGGACTGAATACATACAATATGTAGATACTTACAGTAGTGTTTAAATTGATGCCACCTTTGTCTTTTTTTCTAAAGTGTATGTTTGGTGGTTGTTTGTTCAACCGCAGCCCGAAACCTTCCAACTCATGTTCCAGAAGTTTCTTGTGTTGCAAAGGTTTGAGGACGTCTAGAACTATGAATATGAGACTGCAAGTCCGAGCTACGGCTATTACTTGACGACCTCGACCTTTACCATCTTTTGCTCCTTCAATGATACCAGGCAAATCGAGTAGCTGAAATGTTTGAAAAAAGTATTTATATATATTTTATCAATTTTTTTTGATGTTATGCAACCAGTCAAATGACAAGATAATGTGGTTGTTGAAGAACAAGTTTGGATACCTTATTAAGTTATTTAGTTGTCAACATTGAATTTCATTTTTTTGTTAATTATCTTATGCCACGGGTATTGTGCGATTCAGCTATTTTGTTCACTTTATTTGTAATTGTTGCTACTCATTATTATTTTTTTTTTAATGTTAGTAGGTTTTGAAAGTGATGCACTTTTGTGTTTTTAATGATTCATGCTTTAAGATATGATTAAAACAAAATGTTGCAATTTAAAATTTGCTTAAATATATTGGTTAAGGAAAAATATTGTGTTTAGTTACTAGCAAGCCCCTAGTATGTTTTATATGAGCTTCAATTTTGCTTTTGAAATCTATTTCAAAGCATATTTCAATATTTTTTCCTTTACATTAATGTTATCTACTAACATCTAATACATATGGAGTATATAGCTGACAACAAAGCATGACTATCTGACTTATAATATGAAAAGTAGTTAAGACATGTGTATTTCTCTAAAAATAGTATTGTTAAAAGAACTTAATTAATAGATGAAGACAATAAAAAACATTTATACTACTCATTTTTATACTAAAATATTAAAATTGTTATACTTAATAGAAGAATCTCATCTATGGTACATTAAATAATTATTGTGAGACATTCACGAGGAAGTGAAGCAAAGGTTGGGTCAATAGTAATATGAAAATATATTAAAAATATTTGATCACATACCTGAATTTTAGCACCTTTATATTTAATACAACCAGGCACTGTAGTCAGCGTTGTGAACTCATAAGCTGCTACTTCAGAGTATACACCAGCCAAATTGGATAAAAGTGTAGATTTACCCACTGATGGGAAACCCACAAAACCAATTCTGGCATCTCCAGTTTTAGCAACATCGAAACCTATAACAAAATCCAAATTAATTTTATGATATTATATGCAATTCATATTTTTTAAAAGGACCATCAAAAAAATATATATATAAAAGTATTACTATTGTACATTGAATAACTTTGTTTAAGATGACATTATCTGAGTACTCTGGGTTAAATTTAGTTATTCAAAATGAATGCTTAAAAGATTAAGATAATTATTTATCATCAAAACTTACCGAATTGAAAGTAAAAACAAAGTTATATCCATTGAATCTATATACATATTAAAATATAATTCATAAATTAAATGACTGAAAAAGTTTAATTTTGTGTTGTTATGAAATATAGAATAATCTTGTTTTAATGAAAAATAACATGTTCATTCTGTGATAAATGTAAGGTTTCCATGAAGTCCTAATATAGTAATTTTGCAATGTATATGATTGTTGTTAAACATCATTCAAAACAAATCTTACCTTCACCAGTAGCACCGCCACCTCCTTTTGGTGTAATTAATTCACGTCTTAGCTTAGCTAATCGCGCTTTTAGTAACCCTAAATGAAGGGCTGTAGCTTTATTTTTTTGCGTACGAGCCATCTGGAATACATAAACGTAACTCTTGGCATTTTACTAAAGAAATTGTATATAATTTTTCAAAATATTAATGAGTAGTTTAGAAGGTTTTTATAATGATTTCTTTAATAATAAACAGTATTTCTAGAAAAAAGTTATAACCTCTTCTATTACAAACCTCGGACTCTATAGCCGCTATTTTTTCCAATATAGTACTCATCGTTGTAGTTTTTACAAATGTTTACAGGAATTTTAATTATAAATAATAAATATTATAGGATATGTGACTTATTTTATGCGGCCACTTAAAAATATAAATTGGAAGCGTGTCAATCTTCCATAATCAGTCGGCGCGGCGATCGCGAATGACATTTAATAGTGATGTAATCAAATTTCAAAACCTAACAAAATAGGATTGAAGCTTATACAAACAAATACCTATAATAACACTTTGAACATTAATTAAATAATTTAATGAAAGATTAAAAGATAACATTTCTGGATAGGTAGTAATGAATTTTGGAAATGTGAGATTTTTTAAATATATGTAAAGAAATTTATTTAATTAAAAAAATAATATTATAAATAACAAACGAAAAAATACTAAAGATTTTATTTTTAATATTCCATAGTTTATTACTTTTACAAAAAAATATTAAAAAAGTAGTATAGTCATTATTGATTATTATGAACAGTGCAAAAATAAAACGCATAAATTAGTTCATACATTTTATAATAGATGGCGCTAGTTAGCAACTATAGTAGGTATTAGCCACCCAATAGATGTCTCTAGTCGGATAAAATAAATGGAACTAAGCACGTGGAAATGCTTTTCCCGCAGGTTTGCGCAACTAACATAAAGTCTGTAGAAGAAACTGTGGGAAACGGTTTGGGGGTACGTTTGAACAGGAATACTTCAGTGCAACCTTGCGCGCCATTGCGGCTGTGTGTCTCGTGGCACAGAGCTTTAAGTTTACGAACTTGGCATAACGTAATATTACCTTCGACGTGTTATAATATGTATGATTAAAAAAAAGAAAAGTGAAAATATTGTATTTTAAATTTATTGTTCTAAAAGAAAATGTTTTCGAAACATTATTTTAAGTGTAATTTAAGTGTAGAATTGTAGTTAAATGTCATGTTACGTAGCAATTTAACAGGTAAGTTTATTGCTTTTACTTAAAATAAAAAATAGAAAAAACAAATTGAACGTATTAGAAGTTTTGATGTATGTATGAACCTATTTCAAATTTAAACGTTATTTATGAAATAATTTATTAGGTATTTCGTTCATTTTAAATTTAATTTTTGATGATGTTTTTAATAACAGTATTTCAAATTTATTTAAACTTAGATGTAAAATTTAATTAACTAAATATATAAAAAAATGTAAAAATATTTAATATATATTTATTATACAATTTATCAATAATATTATTCTACAAGTCGGAGTCATCAAACATCTCATTTACATAATATTGCTAGTAGGTACCTACGTTTAATAGTAATTTAATTTTTTTAAGATACCTTATCCTTTCTTGGACTCCATTTGTGTAGACAGACGAGTTAGGGGATACTAATAGCGGTCCTAAAAGTTGTCTATCCCACCATCTGTCTTACCTTTAAGGGCTATACTTTTCGAACCCTATCAAATAGCTGGCTATAATTTTCAGTTTGTGTGCAAAAACGCAAAAAGTTATAATATATGGAGATTCCAAAAAAATAAATGTTTAATGTAATAAATGGTTTAATGTTTGTGAAATTAAATTAATAATAAAACAATAGTTTAATAAAAAAATGTTATAAAATGAACGGGATTCTAAAAATTAACATTCTTTGTAAAATTGATGTGATTATTATATTATAGTATCTACCTATAGTAAAACAAACAATAAAAAATGACCAAACGTTAGTGGAACTTGCAGTTTGAGCTGTATCAAAATGTTTTACGAAGTGTATAATCTGAGATGGTAGATACTAATTGAGTAAGCCCGACTTAGTCTGATTTTTCTGTACTGTTCCTTACTATTGTTATTTCTTTTTCAGATCAAATGTCTTCAAAATGTGTAAATAAAGCTTAAAACCACGAAGCTGTATAAAATTATAATATATAATTAAAATGAAAACTGTTAAGGTTTTAAATTTTAAAGTTTAAATTTAAAATGTCGTCGGTTGTGTCGTTAGATGGACGGGATAGGCCGGGATTGTTGCGTCGACTGACATCGGGTTGCGCTCGCGCAGCTTGCACTCAAGTTGGATTGGTTATCTTAGTGGTGGTTTATGTGTTGCTTGGTGCTGTTTTGTTTGAATACTTGGAGTCAGGACCAGAGGTGCAAAAGAGGACAGCGATTCAGCGGTCAAGAGAAGAATGCTTAAAGGAGCTTTGGGCGATAACAGGTATGCTATGTAAAAACTTTTTAGTAATAATTTTTTTTTCATATCTAAACAAATTACGTCATTTTCTCAAAGAAATATTACGAGAAATTATTACGTGAAATAATTTTCTTTAAAAAATTCTTTTCTATGGTATCTCTTTGTTTTACGTTCTCTTTGATGTGAAATCTGGAAAAGGAATGCTGCGACTAATTGCCCTTATTGATATTTCACTTTTATGAAAAATTATATCATTAATATTATAATTTATGCAAAATCTATAAGTGATTTTTTTCGTGTATTACTTTTATCTTCTATGATATCTCTTTGTTATATTATGTTCTCGATAATGAGAAATTCGTAAAAATTCGCTGCGAATAATTATTTGCCGTCATTGAAATTTCTTTTTTACGAAATGACAACATTTAATAATCATCTATCTGTAAGCAATCGTCTACTACTATTAAGGCCCCGATTACATAATGTACTTGTTTTTTTTTTATTTGTGTTGAAGGGACAGTTCTTAGACTATATTTTTCGATAGGTGTAGCTGTAGTCAATAGTTATTTGTTAAAATGTATAGGGACCAGTAGGTCTCAAACTATCTCCATACCAATTTTAATCTAAATCGGTTCAGCCATTTAGTCGTGAAAAGGTAACAAACAAACAAACAAACAAACAGAGCTACTTTCGCATTTATAATATAAAGTATGGATAATAATAAAAATATCAGAAGCTATTCTCGTTCTCATTACCGTACAATTTCACCTTTAGAATTGCCAACCCTTTGAAAGCTCGAATGAGCCTAAAATGAAATTAATTGGATTCCACACAAACCAACAACTATCGGGCTTGAAGTTATTAATAGCTGACAGATGGCACTGACCGCTGTTTCATTGTTTCACTTTCGTTCATGAGAATACTTTAAGTAGATTAATATATTGTATAGAATTTGGGTCAAAATACATAGTTTATACGTTGTTAATTTTTAATTACTGTCTGTATGTATTTTCTCTTTGGTGTACAATAAAGAGTAATATTATTATTATTATTACTTTATATATCGTGCAGGCGATAGTTCGCATAAATATTTTCTTCCGAAATTCATATATATACCTCAACTAAGGTATATATTTATTTTACATGAAAAAAAAAGAATAAAAGTGTAAAGATTTACTGGTATGAGTCAGAGAATGTAGAGCTTTGCACGCGTCAGTGGATCGGCTCCTTCGGCAAAATACTAGCTTCTCACTGTATTTCAACACAAAATAGCAGCAACCAACCTGTTGTTTATCGTTCAGTGAGCTAAAATGCAAGAAGCTAAAGTTCACCGTCTTCTTTTCCTTTAAAAAAAGATCTTATTTACTCTCCTTCCTTTTTTTTATCGTCGGGAAATGCATTTACTCTCCTTCCTACCCACTAAGATGATAAGCCGCATGTTCCATGTTTTGCACCCCTTACATTAAACATAATTTTCAGTTTTGTGGACTGCACTACATAAAGAATCGCACGAGTAGATTCGCTGCTAGTTGCAATATTTTATTAGTTATAATAAAATATCTAACCGTTTTTTTTATGTTATTTCCCATTAGGAATAATCCTCATGCTAATGACTTCCCCCAATGTCGAGATCATGTTATTATGATCTTCAACGCTCACATCCAGAATGTTAGTCAAGTAAAAGTTAAAAGTTAGGTATATTTTGTATCAATTATTATTCGTCAAAATGAAAAATCTCAAAAGAAAACCTTCCGCGAAACAAATTTGCCAAATTCATAATTACAAACTGTAGCAGGCTATACAAAACCATTGATAAGCTCTATCGAAGCCAAAATTGATATTATTAATTGAATTTCACACAAACCGTTCAGAATCGTTTCAAAGTTGTTAATGGCCGACAGATGGCGATGACCGCGGAGTCATTGTTTCACTTAGTATTCATTGAAATACTTCGGCTGCGTCAATATAAATCGGAAATCACAAATTATTGATCGGTGTTGTATGTATGTACCAATATAGTACAGTAGCATTGCCCGCGTTTCCGCCCGCGTTTAGATAACCAAAAACCAAATTCTTAGGTGTCACGTATTAGTATACTCTTATATTGCAGTTTTTGTATTTTTTCTCAGAAATAAGATAGTTTCCCGCGGTAAAAAGTATCCTATATGTTGACCCGGATGACCAGCTATCATCATACTAAATTTCATCAAAATCTGTCCAGTGGTTTTCTCGTGATGCGGTAACAGACAGACAGACAAAAATTCTAAAAACTATAGATTCGACCTCTGTATCGATAACAATGTCTATTTCAATAAGATTTTTCAAAAAATATTTAATGTACAGATTCGATTCAGTTAGAATTTTATTATATGTATAGATTAAATCCCTAACGATGATAGTAGAAGGATTATAATAGTTAAATAGACAGTTAACAACATAATGGCACAATTTATTTCCTTGATCGGAGATCCTTTTGGGTGTTAACTAGATATGATGTAGTGAGATAATATGCGTCCAAATAACAGTTCATTGGGCTAGAGGTAGCAGGTTCGTTTACTAGGGTTTATTGTACGGGTTTTATTTTAAATAAAGTAGTAATAAAGTGTGAGTAGCTTATCTTTTACACTTTTTCTATGCCAAAGCAAAACTTGAAATAGAGTTAAAATAAGTCAATTTCGAGGTTTGCTTTAAAAGTTATCTATATATATATATATATATATATATATATATATAATATATATATATATATATATATATATATATATATAATAAAGTCGGGCTTGTTACAACACTTATAGTTTGAGAATTGCTGGACCGATTTTCATGGTTTTTTATTTATTGGATTTGTCTCCGCTCCGAATAGCAGAATAACTATTAAAACATGGGAAAAATTAACGAAAAAAAAAATTTAAATTTATATGGCTAACGCTATTATTATATTATATTGGGAGTGATGCCGAGGACGGCTCTAGCTACGTCGACCAGTTATGGTCCATTTAACGCAAACTATTTATATCAATTTAAAACGTACCTAGGGACGAACCCGAGCGAGGGTGAGCCGCTAGTTACAATATAAATTAAGATGTAAATAGAATAATTTATTTTGCCATTCTTGTCCCATTAAGCATATGTATATATACGAATATATACGAGTACAAATCGGTCTTGCCAATACGAATCAATAGATACCTCATTTGTCAATATCATTTCCATCCCTTTGATCCTGCGAGGCAATAAGCCAGTAGAGATAATAATAATTTTATATTGCTTTGAATAGAAATTTTACACGTTATTGTTGGTTTTATATTGAACTCCTTAATGTTATATTTTATACTAGCATTGCCCGCGGCTCCGCCCGCGTTCAGATGATAAAAACGAAATTCTTAGGTTTTACATATTAGTATACTCTTACAATGCAGTTTTTGTATTTTTTCTCAGAAATGAGATATTTTTCCGCAGTAAAAAGTATTTTATATGTTGACCCGGATAACCAACTATCATCATACCAAATTTCATCAAAATCTGTTCAGTGGTTTTCTCGTGATGCGGTAACAGACAGACAAACAAAAATTCTAAAAACTATAGATTCGGACTATGTATCGACAATAATGTCTGTTTCAATTAGATTTTCCAAAAAAAATTTAATGTACAGATTGGACTAAGTTACAATTTTATTATATGTATAGATTAGGTAATAAATAGCTACTTATCTTTAGCTTTGTCTGGTTAGTTTATTGTTCTGAGAATGTTATTTCTCGCAAAAATTTGTATAATTGTAAACCTTATAACTAATGTAAACGCGTAATGTAAACTTGGCCAGAAATAAACATTATTTTTTGTAAACTTCGCCACTTTCCGCCAAAGTAATTATATTCTCAACGTTATGGATGTAGGAAGACACTGAAAATTTTATCCCGTTCATTGATAACCTAAGTGTTGATAAAACATTCATGATGGGCTTATTAAATACGAAGAAATTTTTAAATCCCATTATCTCTTAAATATTATAAATGCGAAAGTTTGGGTGGATGGATGTTAGTTTGTTTGTTACTCAATCATGCCACAACGGCTAAAAGGATCTGGATGCACAGAGATAGATTATAGTCTGGAATAGCACATAGTTTACTTTTTATCCCGGGAAAAATGTACGGTTCCCGTGGGATATCCATATCTATCGATAAACACACCTAAGGACGAACCCGAGCGAAGCGAGGGCGTCGTTAGTATGTAATACATATTTCTAATATGTACCTTATAAATGAATTAGAATGTGACGTTTAAACGATATTTAAACAATGTAGAGTTTTTCCAACAATTCCCTTAATATCGCCGGTAACAAGAGCTCGTCTTCTCTTATGTTTTTCTTATGAGTTTATCATTTCATATATTCTTAATTTTTATACCAGATATATTAAATAACAACTTCTTCTGTAGACTTCAACTGTAAAATCTTTGGCTTTATATGAGTAGAAATTTCAGATTATATTAAGCATACATATAACTATAACATTTCTTATAAATAAACTGTAAGTACCTATAAGAAAGATATGTGATGAGATTAGTGTTTTCAAACGTATAAATTGTTTTATTTTATAACGTTAAGATACATGGGCAGCGGCAGAATTATTTCCAGACGAGGTGCATTTTCTTCCTCACATTAAACTACTAACTAATCTATAAATGGTCAACTTTATAATTTTATTCATAAATGGTTTTTTTTTAAATATTTGTGAGAAATATTAAATATTTTTCGGAGATATCTAAATCGGGATTTACTTATATAATTTTATTTCTTTAACTATTTCTATATATTTTCGTTTATGACAAGAGGACAACAAAGTGTTCCTTTCGCCCTTCCCTCCCCCCTGTCATGTTTATTTCATGTCGCGCTTGTATTGTGATTGCTGTTATTAGCGGCTTTAGCACCCTATTACACCAATTTGCAAAACAAATGAAAGAACTTTATGTATGGTAGTAATGTGAACATATATGAAAATGTCATGATTAATATTAAAATAATAACTTTTTACTGTTATATGTATTGCTTAAAAAGTGGGAATATAGAGTTTCTTAACTTAGTATTGAAAGCTTTAAAAATAACTTTAATCTTGTATATAATCTATCTATACATATAATAAAATTCTGACTGAGTTATTTATTTTATCTGTAGCATTAAATATTTTTTGGAAAATTATATTGAAATAGTCATTATTATCCATATAGAGACTGAATCTATAGTTTTTTGTCTGTCTATCTGCCTGTGACCACATCACGGAAAAACCACTGGACAGATTTTGATGAAATTTGATATGATGATAGCTGGTTATCCGTATCATCATACAGGATACTTTTTACTGTGGAAAAATATCTCATCTCTGAGAAATCTATACTACACGTTACGTTAAAACGTAAGTAGGGACGAACCCAAGCGGAGAGAGGTTGAGTCGCTAATCTATAAATAATACCTACATAAAACTACAAAGTAAGGGCATAACTACTAAGATGTTAAAACTTTGATGTCGTGAGTTCTAACACCCATCTTTCATTTGGTGTGCGATCTGGGTCATGAAAACGAAATGAGACCGATCGTAAGCCAAATGAATCTACATACCTAATGTTTGTCTAGTTTTCGCTTCATACACATAAAATCGATAATTTATGACAGATTTATTAAAGCTTCGAAGTTAAAAGACATTTCTTTCTCTCTGTCTCTCTCTTATTTATCTCATAGCTGATGTCCCATCACTGGGCACGTTGAAAAATGGTAAGAGGGAGTAGACGGTTCTCTCAGACATACAGTTTTACTGACTATTATTATTGTATATGTGTTCCTTCATTGTAAAGCGGTAATCGGCGATGATAAACATGGTTAAAATGATTTTCATATGGAAATATCAGGGATACGAGACCCGGGGATCGAATCCACATCACTTAGTTTTCCAAGCGAGCTTGTGACTGAGCAACAACTTCTTTAAAATATTTAACCTCAGAAAATTCCAAATAGAAATATATCATGTTGCCTTTTTTACAAGCAGTAAAATGCCTTCGGGCACGTTCGGGTATTTACGGTTGTTGGTTTAACGGAAACATTTCAAGTAATTCAATCAAATGGCGGAAGAAGACCGGTAGTTTCGGGCACGAGTCAATATTTAATTTGGCCGACAGGAGGAATGGCTTCCCAGGGTTTGTATCACTTGTTGAATATTAGAGTAAAATAAATTATTCTATGGTCACAGGATCAAAAATTAGAAAATCATTATTCATGCATTGATACGTTCAACAAAGAATTATTTGTCAAGTAAAAAC